AGTACTTGGAGACTTGCATATTCAATAAGTGCGATCTCTGCTTTGACACCATCAGCGCTCATCCACCAGGTCGGTGACATATGAAGGATCTTACCGTCGATTCTATATTGGTTCCAGGAATACTTTCCTATTCCTAGTACCGTTTTTTCCATCTTGTAGAAGAACGGTCGTCTGAAACTTTTACCAGTCTTCCGTGGTCTGCACTGGAGCGAATCGAATTATACATGTTTTTTCTCAACCCGCGCACGCTTTCGCTGTTTCTGGCTTTGATATCGCTCAATGTTTCCTCCGACTTGACTTTATCACAACTAAACGAATCAATGTCAATCACGCCGCTCAAGTGCCACCGCCGCCCAAGAATCATTCAGACGAACAGGTTCTTTCATGAATGATCATTTATTATAAAGACCATCCATGGCTCTGAAAATGTCCTTAACAAACTTACTTTCCCCCCACTTTCATTCTCCTCTTATTCTCAGTCCGATTAACTCATCAATTCTTTCATTTCAAAGTTTCAGCTGTTCTTTAATTCCGTTTTCGCAGAAAAATGTCTGCTAGTTCTTCGAAGAGTCGCTTGAATGGCAATAAACCTTTCGCCCCCATCCGAGGCTTAAGCCTTCTCCCCGCAGTCAAGCCTGACATTCCTCTCGCTCATTATACACAAGCACCAGCACATGGCTTTTTTTCTTGGGTTTTTGGTAGGGGCACCGTGGTGAGCATCATCATACTTGTCTCTAGTTTGTTTCGCTGTCTCTGACGGGAACTTGCGTTCCCTTCCCTTTCCTTTTCGCTAAAGATCTGGCATATATGGCCTGCTGTAATAGTTCAAACAATCTTCGCTTCTAGTATGATCGATTCATCCAGTTGCAGATGTTCATCCTGATGACATTCTTCAGTTGTTGTTGCTCTGGACGTGAGGGGAATCGTAAAGCTGGAGATTCCTAATGTAATGTTGAACGGTAAGCAGCTACATACTTCTTGTATCGACCAGCACTCACGACAGTGTAACAACAGTTCTCGGTATGCTCTATTCTTCCCTCTTTACGATCAGCGCTCAGCTGGAATAGGTGTGGTTATCGGTTTTGTTATATCTTACAGAGCGATGTCTGGGTAATTAATCTTCTTTTGGTCCTTTGAATTCACCATCTAACACCATTTTATAGTTATGATCGATACTGGCAAGGTCGATCGGCATGGACCAGTGTCATTCAAGATTCTCGTGCCCTCGGTCGTCTCATTTGGTATCACGTACCCGCTCGTCTGACTCCAAGAACTGCGGAAGAGATATCTACTGGGATAATGAACCGTACGAGCTCCGAGCTCTTAAAAGTCATGGCTGAGAAAAGAATGGCTCTTGACCTCATTCTTGGATTTGCTGTTGCTATGAAACATCACTTGCGAGGTAAGCTTACTGTCAGGTTTGGACTCTACTTGGCGGCTGCCTAATGCGTTCTTTCGTAGGCGAGCTTGGAATTTACTACGAAGATCTCTACCATCTCGTACGTCCGCTGCACGATGTGAGTGATACCAGTTCTGTCTTATGAATGCTCACGTTGATCGTAATCTGTCAGCACGACCATACTGCGGAACAGAAACAGGCAGCAATGACCTCTGCTCTTCCTCCACCATCCCGAGCGCGCCGCATTGCGTCCAACCCTGCTCTTCCTCAAGCACGAGGTATCAGCGGAGAATCTTCCCCGCCCAAGAAACAACGTCGAGTTCACTACCACACGGAACATGAAAATGCCAGCGAAAGCACCTACGGCACCTTCCCAGTTTCTGAATCTCCACGGGGCTCGCTGCACCGAGTCCCTTCCAGTGCCTCAATCCATAGCCATCATCAAGTTCTTGCTCCCGCGCAACAACCCGGAGAGCAAGACATTTTGAATGATGTTTCTACCGAGCTCATTCCTTTCTCCGGGTTATTTGGGCGCATCAGAAGCTTGTTCTCTAGGAAATCATCCTACTCTGGACTTCCAACCCAGGACCCTAATGCGAAGGATCCTTGGGCATACGATTCAAGTCAGAGAATGTGGAGCGGACCTATCCAACCGAGGGTTGGAAACGAGAAACATACGGTATCTACGGCCGATCGCGGTGAAAATTTACCGCTGGAAATTGTACGATGTATGAGCGAGTGGTGCAGTGTTTTGGAAGAAAGAAACACTGTACCAGGGACGAGCTTGGGATCTATGATAGGCACCGTTACATCCTTGGAAGCGTCATTGGCTTGTAAGTTGTTTCCTGCATGAGTAAATAATGCTGGCGCTAACTTTTGACTAAGCCCTCGAGCAGATCCTGACTACTCCGCTTCCTTTGTAAGTCTTGAAACCTCATTAATAGTACTACAGCATGCTGACGAACTCCAAGCGTCTATGCGGTACACATCAGACAGTAAGTAATTGAAACTCTCTGGTTATCTTCCTTAGGCTAATTCTTTCCAGCACTGTCTGGGTCTACCTCTTCTTTTTGCCCTTCCAGCTAGTGGCTGAATTTGGATGGCACACGGTACCAGGTGTGGCGTTGGCCGCGTTCATTTATCTTGGTTTCCTCTCTGCCGGTGAAGAAATTGAGCAACCGTTCGGTGAGGCTTTTCCGAATCTGGATTTCCGAGCTTGTACAACTAACACGATTTTAATAGGCTACGATGAGAATGATCTCGACCTCGATATGTTCTGCAAAGAGATTATTGAAGTCGATATCAATAACCTCAAAAAGTCGCCATGCTTAAACGCTTACTTTCCTCCAACTCCAAAACTTCAACGCCTTGTCAGGCAACGCTCGATGACTCTTGCAGAAGCGACTGCTTATGGGGAGGAATCGGAATCGGACAGATACTAAACGCGGATGACTGTCCGCTTTGGGTCGAAAATCAAAAGAAGAACTTGGCTACAAGACACGTTCTGCAGTTCTTACTTACTTCGTTTGCTTTGCTTTGAAACGGGACTGGTGCTGTTTCGACCACTCATTTCTTTTTGATTTCCGGGAGATTACCACTGGTCATGGATTCTCAGTACATAACACTCATTTATATATCTAATTTATCAGATCTTTTCAAAAACACAGAAAATCTGCGTGAGCAGTTGGAAGGCGGAGAACGTAAGCGCCGATCGCGAGATCCTCATCGGAGTTGAACGCTTCTCTGATAATTTTCTCAACGTCAACGCGTCGGAACTGCCCGTTTCTTCTTCGCCTTTTCTCTTCTTGACCGCCGTGATCATGAATATTGCAGCTCTTTTTTCTCTCATTTTTCTTTCGATTTCCTTGCTCGTCAAAGCGTCAGATCTCCATGATCATCATCATCGACTTCACGAACATCATGCCCATGCCCGCTCGCTCTTGGACGCGACCAACGACCGGAAGCTCGCTATTGCCTGGTTCGCTAACTGGCATACCGACGCGACGTCCTCTTTTGGCTTGTCCAGCGTAACCTGGAGTAAATACACGCAGATGGTGTATTCTTTTGTGTACGCGTTTCGACCTAGCGATTCATTTTTCTGCGCTCATAATCTGCTTACAGTACTGTAAACGAGTCCTGTCAGCTCGCTCCTCTGCCCAACGAAAAGCTTCTACGCGACTTTGTCGAGCAAGCTCACGAACATGTATGTATTATCTAGTCTGTTGCCACTCGTGTTTCTAACGTGAATGTACAGGAAGTGAAAGCTTTAGTGGCTGTCGGAGGATGGGCAGGATCCATTTACTTTTCACCTTGCGTCGCATCCGAGGAAAATCGCAAGACATTCGTCGACTCTCTGCTAGAACTCGTGAACAAGTACAACTTGGACGGGATCAACTTCGAGTACGAATTTTAACCTTTGCATATATGCATACTTTAATCAACGTCTTACTTTTTAGTTGGGAGTATCCTAATCAACAAGGGATTGGCTGCAATCAAATCAACCCAGACGATACCAAAAACTATTGTACCTTTCTTGAAGATCTTCGCAAAGAGCTCCGCAGTGATGAATTCATCCTATCCGCCGCTACCGGTATCACTCCTTTCCATGGCCCTGACGGTAAACCTATCACAGACGTGTCTTCCTTCGCGAAGGTCTTAACAAGTATTGCAATTATGCCGTACGATCTCTGGGGTCCCTGGAGTACCTCCGTTGGTCCTAACGCGCCCTTGTATGATAACTGCGCGTCCAGTAATAACCAGTTTGGCTCTGCCGCTTCTGCTGCGGAGAATTGGAAGAATGCTGGTATGCCCCCAGAGAAGATCGTGCTCGGAGTTCCTGCGTATGGTCATTCGTTCAAAGTGACCCATGAAAATGCCTTTGTCCCCGGTTCCGATCCCAAGGAGCTTGCTGCGTATTGTACTTTTGACAGTTCTGCCCATCCGAAGGGAGATTCTTGGGATGGCAACGGTCCTGACGCTTGTGGTGAAGATCAGCCGTACGGAGGAGGTGAGCTCAGGATCTACCTGTTGTTGAACGCTTTTTCAGTCTAACTACCATTTCAGATTTTACCTTTTGGGGATTAATCGACGGTGGTTTCCTTGACGATAAAGGGAAGAATAAGAGCGGAATTTTCTACCGTTTCGATTCCTGCAGTAAGACGGTACGCACGGCTAGCTTTGGTCTAGCAGCCTTTTACTTACGACTACTTCCAGCCTTATGTCTATAATCCAAACACCGAGATCATGGTCTCTTATGACAACGCCGAATCATTCAACGCTAAGGGTGAGTTTATCAAGAAGGAGGAACTTGCTGGGTTTGGGATGTGGGAGGCAGGGGGCGATTCCAAAGGTGATATTCTCTTGGACGCTATCAGAAAAGGAATGGGTTTGAATTGAGAGCTATACTCATCCTGCTTTTCTTCTTTTTGTTCTCGCAATATGTACAAGTACGTATAATCACCCTATTAGTAAGTCGTTATAAGCAGCTGTGGCGGTTCTTGAAAAAAGACATTTCAATGTGGAGACACACTGGAGACACCGCAAAATGGATGCGAATGATAATTGAGTTGAAAAAACATGCAATTCCCGAGCCTTAGCTCATTTCCAATGCGGGGAATCGAACCCCGGGCTGCTGTGCAACAGTCACTACACAAGGTCTATGAAAGACAGCAATGTTAGCCACTACACCACATTGGAATGACACTGTATTTACATAAAATAATTATTTCAACTTACAGTAATTGCATTTATCGTTAAAATAACCAAATGGTAGCAAAAGTACATGACAGAGAACCCAGTCGACTATGTACATAACCTTTTTTTTTGCTTCTTCTACTGTAAACCAGCATTATCATACTTTCGTCACACCCGTCCGCCAACAACCGCGGTCAAAACATCAAACTAGCTGCAGCATCTACATTCCCTCCTGCAGCGTTCAACATTGATATCGCCACTTCCCGCGTCGCACCAAGGTCCATGAGGATCGCAATATTGGATTCTGGATGTGAAGAAGGAGCGCGGGAGGAAGTTGAGGAGACGGATGGTGTTGTGGGAGGTCTGGATGCGTGACCGGGAGGGAGGATGTTCGATGCTCCAGGTGTTGTTGCGCCCGCTGTGGCTAGTCTTGGTGCTGGTGCTCCGCCCAATGCGTTGCCACTACCTGGGAATGGCTGGGTTCCGGTTCCCGTGGATGGACCTAATTGAATCGCGATAGCAAGTGAGTTACGATATCCTAAATGAATTCAAGCACAAGAGGGTTCTTACCGGCACCACTACTAGAGGTGGAAGGTGGAATTTCCCCTGCAGGGTCTCTTGCTTTGTCGGGAAGTTCGTGTTCCGACAGGAAACGAATTTCTCTCCCCTGAATTCGAAGGACATTCTTTTCTAGATCGATGGAGGCCTGGTAAGACTTGAGCATGTCGAGACCGAGAAGCAGGTCGACCTCACGGCCCTATGGTGCAATAGCTCAGTTCAGTCATCACGCAAGGCAAATAAAACGAAGGACGGACCTCCATGATCGTAAAACTACACGGTAGATGCAAGTCTGCCACTTTGAACTGACTCGAGTGCACGCGTCCGAGAATCTTGGCAGTACCCACTCCGCGAGCTATACCGGAAAATCGAGTGTCCAAAAGACGCATGATGCTAGAGAGAATGTCAGAATCTACCTATAACGAACAAGGATATTTCACTAACCCGCAACTCTCTGCGAGCTCGGGAGACACTACCCATGTATGAATAAGATGAACGAAATACACTGCATGCTTTACTCACTGATAGTTTGTTGAGCGCCACTATCCACAAAGGCCTTCACTTTTGTTCCATTGACCTCCGCATCGATGCTGTCACGAAAGATCAGTTACAAAGACGCAACAGAAAGTGGGCTGTACCGACTATAACATCGTCACCCTCCCAAAGCTCTCTGGACTATACTCGATCGCGTGTTCCATATTATCAAGAACAGCCTGCTGCCTAATCCTCTCTTCAATCTTACGTTGAGCTTCTACATCAAATGGATCTGCGTTCAAAAGGCTAAGTTCCTCCTTGGCTGCTAATTCCGCTGCCTGCTGCTGCGATCTCGTTTGTCGTAAAAGCTCAGCGAACCGAGCAGGGTCGTTTCGAGCTGCAGACGCGAATTCTGGCTGGGCTTGCTCGATTTGAGCCATCAAGTTGGGGTCACCGAGGAGTTGTAACCGCATGGTTTCTGCGTCGTGGTCGATTGGTTGACCAGAGGGAGCAATCATGGCTTTTCTTCGAAGGCCCAGCATTGCGGAATCGGGAATATTTAGTTGGCGGAGAGTTTGCTTGAGTGAAGAGGGGGAAGCGGTTAGATCGTTGTTTTCGTACGAGACGGATTGGTCTGCGGTTGGAATTCCAGACTGAAAGATAACTTAATAATGGATATAATCATAAAGAATAAAGCTGACTTCGGCTTCCAACAGTACCAAGACCGTTTCTAGCTCCATGTCTGAATCGATTTCGAGAGAGAAAGTGTCTCCAATGTCGGTTACAAAAGTGAGATTCATAGCTAGATTATTTCGTGGCGCTTTGCTTGTGATGGTGGTAGTTGAATGGAAGGTTATATGACTGTACAGAACAAAGGCATCGCGTAAATCCTTCGGAGCCGGTCCGGTGAATGTCCTCGAAGCTACTCGAAGGATTTTCTTCCGCATCGGGACATTGTATAAAAAATGTTATTGCTATAATACATTCACTACTAATCTAATCGTCTTTGGGTTTCATACATCGACCAAGTACTCGGGCACAACATCCCGCGACTAATGAGGCGTTCCAGTTGTCCGATAACTAGTACCAAATCGACTTCGAGCATACGCAGAACTAGAGAACACTTGAGGACCAAAGAAAAGTAAGGGGGGAGGCAAAATACTCACAGCCTCGAACCAGTCCCTCGAATATTCGCAGACAATAAAGCACTGTCCAAAGCACTCGCAGACAGACTGGCATCTATACGTGATAATGTCAGTTTTCGAAATATCCAAAGCAGATATAGCATACCACTAATATCACTAAAACTTCCTGTTGACGCTTCCGAGCCATCCCTATCGTGTGCACCAGGTCCGAACATGCGATGAGACTGACCCAAAGCACTTCTGGGAGACAAAGCAGGAGGACTCGACGACTTTGTCGGGGACATATGTCTTCGCAAGGGTGAACGAGACTCTGGAGAATGCGGCAACGAATCTGCTGTTGGGGAAGGTATCTCGGGTAAAGAGCCTTGAGGTGAGCCCGCACTTGACACGCTTGCACTATTGCTTTGACTAGACAGAGAAGCATTGTAATGGTGGTTGTGTTGGTGTATACTCCGATTTAAAGCAGCACTGGCGCTAAGATCGCTTCTTCCCCGGTCATACTCTCGACTCTGCTTGGCCACTTGTCGTCCCTGCTTCTTTCCGACACTAACAAGTCCTAGCTTCTCTCCTGTCATCATCTTCTGCAAATCGGCCAGTTTTCTGTCGAGAGCCTCCTGCTCTTCTGCATCCCGTTCCGACTCTTCCTCTTTGAGCATTTCATCGTCATCTGAATCCATTTCATCTTCTTCAGAAGACGCCGGAGATGCAGGACGTTCGATAGGTAGATGATGAATAGGTTTCCTCGCAACCGGAGTTTGCAGCGTAAGCGTGGAGGAGGAAGCTGTTCCTTTTCGTGGGCGCAACGACGATGAAGATGAGCTGTCTCGATGCCCAATGGAATTGAGCCTTGCGCGGATACCTAATGGAGTCGATCCACGACCCAAGGAAGGCGAGAGCCGTGCATGGCTTCCTCCTATAATCAAACGGCTCAGCGTTCGTCCAGGGAGATTTGGAGTTTGCTGATCTGTTGAAGGTTCCCCAAAGGGTCCACCAAAAGGCACATTGGGAGAAATAGGGCTCGAAACTCCCGGAATATCCTGTAGTCCCCGCAAGTCTTCTTGGTATCGAGCGTGTACCCTGTAGAGTAGATATGGTAGCGGTACTTCAAGATGCGCTGCAAGTCCTTTCCCTAACCGGGCTTGAATTTGAAGGGCAGGTTGTAATAAAGAAAGACTCACAATCTGCACCTCCGCTGTCACTAGTCCTCGATTTCTCTATCACTTTCCACAATATATCTGCCTTTTCAGGACCCCATTCCACCTAGAAAGACAGAGCATATAAGCTTGAAAAGACTCGCAAAGTAAGAAATATATGACAGACTCTGGGTGGATCAGCAATCTGATCTTCATGATTTGCAGGCCGATTATAAGGTAGTCGAACAACGACTCGGACATTCTGAGCAGACATGGTTTGAACGTCGGGGACTCTAGTATCCTATCAGGACAAGCTCGTACAACAGGGTCAACCTGCACCTCTGCATAGTGAGCGTGTAACTGTTGAATTGTAACGTGGGAGTAGCGCCAGAGCAATAAATTACATACTGTACATTCTACATACATACATACATCCAGCCTAAATACATGCTACAACAGAAAAAAGATACAAAAGCCCTCAAATCAATGAAACCCTAGTCCGAACAAGTCCTCCTCTCCAATTATGCATTCCCGCTGAACGACGATGAGCCCATTCACCTTGCATTCTCGAGAACGCATCCTGTATATGTTCCGGTCTCAGCGCAGTACGCGCTTCAGGAGGCGGAAGAAACAATGAGTTCACTGGCATCGTGTACTCGTCTCTATCTGGCGAATCTTCCCGACGCCTCTTCTCTACAGACCCACTGACCCCATTCACTTTGCGCTTTCCTAATACAGGAGACGAGTAATCTTCCCTGTGGTAGGCTTCTTCGAGAGACTTTTTAACGGAAAGACCAGCGAGAGTTAGGGACCGAACCATTTCGAAGGCGAGAAAGCCGACAATGTCGACCGTGTCGTCGTTTGAGCGGAGGTCGAGATGGGAGGGGAGGTTGAGGAATTCGCGAAAACGTTTGGCTGTGAGGCAAGAATTAGATATTGCTCGACTTTGCAGCCCTACCAGAGACGTACCTTTGCGATAGGTGAATGTAGCCTGCCGACAGTCTGCATAATGTTGGTACTCTTCTCTCGTCATTTGCCGAGTAGCATCATCAGCTTCCTGGAAGACAGAAGTTAGCATCACAGTTTAGATGGATCTGGAGACGAGTGCGCACCTTCAGAACGTTGAATTGAGGCCTCGTGTGCTTCAATATCATCCTCGTCCTCTTCATCATCGGACTGATGCCCACTTTGCTTTAAAACTTCAGAATAAAGCGTCGTAATCTCCCAAGGCAATTTGATAGTAATCTTCTGCGCTTTCGCTGCTAGCTTGTCTACCAAAGGCCGTCAGCAAAACAACGAACATCAACCACAACTCCAAAAACGCACCATCGGCACCTTCCTCAATAGCTTCCTCAACCCCGCCACCGCCAGCAGCATTATCAGAGTCTTTCGCATGTTTTCGAACATCTTTCCACGAAAGATATGTTCGAAGACGGTTGACTTTGCCTCTGTCGTGACGAATGAGGAATATAAGATCTTCAGCGGAGAGATATCGTGCTCCTCGGCGCGTCGCTAGCCCTCTAGCTTGGATGATCTACAGCAATGTATCGAATGAGGTTGAGGGTTGGAACTGGTTGAAGGACTAACCAGTTCAACGAGTTGACTCCGTACGATATCTTCAACGAGATTTACGGTATCAGGGATAGGATCCTGAACTTCTCCGAAAACGAACATCTATTAGAACATATTACCA